AATTATATTTCATCTCTAGTTATCAATTATAAAAAACCCCATTTCTGCCTTCTATGGATTCTAACATATGATGAAGGGGAGGGGGTGAACAAAGGGGCTTTATGGCCCTCACTTCCTTCGGTACACTTCAAAGCAGCTGATTGTGTGTATTGCCAAAAGAGCTAACCATAAGAATGGAGCTGTTATCTTTCATGTAAGTCTCCATCCAGCCGGCAGAAAGGAAAAGGGGGTGGGATTGTAATGCCTGAAACTGTCGCTGGAAGAGGAGGGTGATTGGGTGGGACTACTGGGGAACCCCTTAAAACCTTGAATGGGAGAGCTTGGACCCCAAGTCCTGTCTAGAATGCCTGCAACCATTTTCTCTTAATAAAGGATGCCTGTTGGAAGAATTATTCCAAGAGTTCTGTCTTCTTAAGATGCAAAGTGGGGTGGGTCCTTACAGGTTAGTCAGTCTGCAGTCAGACAAGAGAGATTATTATCTAACTGTAACCTCATCCTTACAGGTAATCCTTGATCTTCAACCATTCATTTACTGACCATTCAAAGTTACAATCACTCTGAAAAAAGTGACTTACAACTAGTACACTTATAGCCAAACAGCTTCCCCATGTGATCAAAATTCAGATCTTTGATGCCACTGGCATATATTTATACTGGTTGCAGTTCACCATTTACGCCTTCCCAGTTGACTTCCAACAAGCAAAATTTATGGGGGAAGCCAGATTAACTTAATTTACTTACTTAACTGCAGTGATTCACCTAACAAGGGTAGCAAAAAAAGGTCGCAAAATCAGGCACAAGTCAATTAACAACCGCCTTGCTTAGTGATTGAAATTATGGTCCCAAAGGTGATCGTAAGTCAAAGTCTACCTGTATTACATTTCCAATGAAGTGCTGTTTTTGACCGTTCTTTTTTTGGCAGTACAATAAACCCTAAATATTTCTTGCATAAGTCATAATTTGAGGCCCATAACATTCTTACTGTAGAAGTTAAAACACTCTCCCATTGTCTAACCAATATAGGGACTTCTAGTTCTTTATTCCAATCATTTTTTAATGTCTGTGTTTTTAAATGAAGAGTTGCATCTACAAAGTGCAAATAATATTATTTCTAATTCCTTGAAATTAAATGCACTCGGCAAATCATAGGAATGTTTTAAGAGATATATCATTACTCCGACTTCTATACAGATGCACTTGAAGATACTACTAAGAGATATGAGATCTCTGGTAGCTGAATAAACAATATCATTATTAAGAGGGAAAATGATAGATTTTTCCACAGTATTCCCCATTCTGATAGTTCTAGCAAAGCAGCAAAATCCAAATATAGGGTCCACAAGAATCTTCCTTTTAGTCCTGGCTTCATTGATTGGTTGACTTGGTGAAACTAACTACTGATAGTCCTTGACTTACGACCACAATTGAACCCAAAATTTCCATTGTTAAGTAAGATAGTTGTTAAGAGAGTTTTGCCCCATTTTGCAATCTTTCTTGCCACAGTTGTTAAGTGAATCACTACAGTTGCTAAGTTAGTAATACAATTGTTAAGTGAATCTGGCTTCTCTATTGACTTTGCTTGTCAGAAGGTTGCAAAAGATGATCAGATGACCCTGGGACACTGCGACCGTCATAAATATATGTCAGTTGCCAGGTATCTGAATTTTGATCACGTAACTATGAGGATGCTTCAATCATCATTAAGTATGAAAAATGGTCAAAATTACTTTTTTCAATGCTATTGTAAATTTGAATGGTCACTAAATGAATGATTATAAGTTGAGGACTACCTGTAAGGCTGTAAATCTATGGATACTTTCTCTGTAGATCTGTGGACAGTAATCCTCTTAAAGCTTATTTGTGGAATGTACTGTACTTTTGAAGAAATGTACACACAGGTCTGAGCAGGAACTGGGAAAATGAAGACAGGATCCCATCTAATGTCTATATTTTTTGTAATGAGAGACAGATCCTTGACTAGTCTTCAGAATGTTGGCATCTGGTATATTATGAGCACCAGAATTAAATGGAAAGGAACAATAAGTTCTTAGGTGATGAGCTTGGGAAAAGTTTAAAAGTACCAACCAAGAAAACAAATAATTCATTTCTGAAAAATAGAGATCGCAATTGCTTTATGTTTATTAAATGTGGAGGGAAGAGTAGATAGATGCTCACTACAAATTGAATACAGATCATCAGTTAGACCTATGAAGGGTTTTGATTACAAAAAACCAAAAACAAAATACCCCTAAGAATTTCTTGAAATATATTCCAATGAACATGGTAAGAAAAAGAGCCCTGGTTGTACAATGGTTAGAATGCAGTATTGCAGGCTAACTCTGCCCACTGCCAGAAAGTTTGATCCTGACGAGGCTGACTCAGCTTTCCTGTCGTGACTCCAAGCCAGCCTATGCTCTCAACAGCAGAGTCTGGGGAATCTGAGGAGGAGGAGATGGAGGGAGGCTCTGATGAGTTACAAGACTCACATTCCAGTGAGGAGCCAGGCCCCTCCAATCGTGTGCAGGATGAGATGCAGCGGGGGGGGGGGGGGAAGAGTCAGACTCGGATGTCTCACAGCTGTTGGAAATGAGAGACGCCCAAAAAAGAAGACAAGCTAGGAGAGTAGACCAGAGAGAGGCTATGAGACGACTCAGGAGAAGGCACTAAGAAGCCACGCCTTGAGGACTGCCTTACAAAAGGGAATGTGTGGGTGGTGCTGGTTGCTGAAGGCAACCATTGCAAAGTACATGTGGAAATCTTGTCCTGTTAGTATTGCCGGTGATTACTTTTCTGTTTTGCCTTGTATTTCGTTTGGACAATTTCCTCCCTTTGGTTTGTGTTTTGCTGTTTCGGTTTCTGGACTATTTGACAGGTTTGTCACCCATATTAAAAGGAATTTGTTTTCTTTTGGAGTCTCCAGCCTATTTCTCTCAACAGGGGTTTTGTCCTTGTGCCTTTAACAAGGACAGCTATAGGCTGGAACATAACAGTTTGCTTTCAGCCTCACCCCCTACTATTACAGAGCAGCTACGTGCTGAGAATGCCCAGCTCGCTTAGCAGTTGGCTTTGTTATCAGCCCAAGTTGCTCAGCTGGCAGCCCAGGTTCCTGCTGCTCCACCACCACCCAGGAGGAAATGCCAAGTTGCGATGCCGGACAAATTTGATGGCAATCCAGACATGTTTCCTATGTTCATGGGACAATGACAGCTGTATATCAGTGTGAGACAGTTGATTTCCCCACTGACCGGGATAAAGTGAGGTTTATGATAAGCCTGCTCTCTGGTGCTGCAGCTCATTGGGGCACACTCCTGCTAGCCCAATGTAGTCCATTGATGGACAACTTTGTGGGGTTTTGTGATTACATGCAGACGATGTATGAGGACCCTATCAAGACCCAGACAGCTACCCGATGTTTGAAAGCTCTGAGGCAGGGCCGACGCCCCTTGCAGAGCTATATCAGTGAATTCCAGTTGCTTAGCCAGGATTCGGCTTGGAATGAGGCTGTACTCGTGGACACTTTCCAGGATGGATTGTCAGAGGAGATGTTGGATGAGCTGGCCCGTGTTGATGTTCCCCCAGACCTCAGTGGGCTCATTCATCTCTGTCTGTGGATCGACGCTCGGCTGCAGCAGCAAAAGAGTCATTGTGCCACCTCAGAGACCGTTGTGCATGAGACCCCGGTCCAGAGGGAGGAGCCAATGGAGTTAGGTGCTGCCAGACCTCTCCTATCGGTGGCAGAGATGAACAGGCAATGCTCGGGTGTTGACTGCCTTACAAAAGGGGAATGTGTAGGTGGTGCTGGTTGCTGAAGGCAACCGTTGCAAAGTACTTCATGGAAATCTTGTCCTGTTAGTATTGCCGGTGATTACTTTTCTGGTTTGCCTTGTATTTCGTTTGGACAATTTCCTCCCTTTGGTTTGTGTTTTGCTGTTTCGGTTTCTGGACTATTTGACAGGTTTGTCACCCATATTAAAAGGGATTTGTTTTCTTTCGGAGTCTCCAGCCTATTTCTCTCAACAGGGGTTTTGTCCTTGTGCCTTTAACAAGGACGGCTATAGGCTGGAACATAACACTTCCATCCTTCCAAAGTCGGTAAAATAAGGACCCAGATTGTTGGGAATAATACACTGACATTGTAAATTTCTTAGCAAGCACTGCAAAGCACTGTGAACAGTATATAAGTCTATGTGCTACTGCTATTGTTAAAGCATTTTATTTCAGTAGAAAAGTGTTAAGTACTACAGTACTGAAATAATGTATTAAAAGTTTCTTAGCTGTCCAACTCTATTGAAGGATATTGACTAAATAAAATACAAACTGTACCAGCTCTTCCTATGGAGTGAGGAGACAATTTAGGATCAACATATTGCTTCAAAAACTATGGAAGTTTGTGATGGGCTACTGCTCTCTGCTGGCCATTAAGGGAATTGTGCAGTGTGGATGTTTATTGAGTAAGTGCCAGCTTGATGCTGGTTGTCCGTTTCTTCTCTTTCCTTCCACCTTTCCCAGCATTACAGGTTTCTCCAAAGAACTAGGTGTTTGCCTGAGTGAGCCTGGTTATTTAGGCTTTGAGTGGGAACTCTGGATTTGTTTAGTAATCCATTTGTTTCCTTAAATATTGACATTCTCAGAAATCTTCTCCAAAGTTTAAAAGTGTCAGGGTCATGGAGAATACCATTGCCCACAAGTTCCATTCTTAACTGTATCTTTAACTCAAATTTGTACAGGTAGTCTTCAACTTACAACCACAATTGAGCCAAAAATTTATGTTGCTAAGTAAGACAGTTGTTAATTTTGTGCCCCATTTTACTACCTTTCTTGCCACAGTTGTTAAGTGAAACACTGTAGTTGTTAAATTAGTAGTGACTTTCCCATTGACTTTACTTATCAGAAGGTCGCGAAAGGTCACATGACCCTGGGACACTGCAACTGTCATAAATATGAACCAGTTGCCAAGCATCCAATTTTTGATCATGTGATCATGGGGATACATCAATGGTCGTAAGTGTGAAAAACAGTCATAAGTCACTTTTTTTCCAATGATATTGTAACTTTTAACGGTCACTAAATGAACTGTTGTAAGTCGAGACTACCTGTATGCAAGACAGAACTTATATGTACAAATAGGCTATTATTAAAAATGGCAGACAGCATTGTCCTTCCTCAAGCTGACAAATCGCTGAAACCATGTAATGTTTTCATAAGTTACTGAAAACCACTGAAAATAGGCTGTTTATTGAAAACATATGGCTTCAATGATTCATAAAACATTGCATGACTTCAACAGTTCATTTGCTTGAGGAAGGACAATGCCAGCCACCTCTCTTAGTAACAGACAGCATGTTCATATCTAAGCGTTGTCCTTAAGTCAGACATTTTTAACTGGAGTACTATCTGTACCTTTTTCAAGATCTCATGGCGACTCTCCCAGACTCTCCCAGAATCATTTGAGATGGGCAGCCACATAAATGAATAAATAAAGGTGGTAGTCTGTGGTACCTTTTTGAAAGTGTTTATCATTATAGTTAATTCTTAACTTACCTTTCAAAGTTATGACAAAAACACACACACACCCAAAAAAACACCCCTATTTAAGACCTGGTCCTCAAGTTACAATCGCTGCAAAGCTCCTATAGGTGACTGGCATCTAAATAAGGAAAGGGTTAGAATTGTTCCCTTGTTTTGGAAGATCCTTCATTATCTACCACATCTTAATCCACATGGCATGCCTCATTTCCTTTCATTGCCATATTCAAAGAAACACAAGAGTTTCTTCATACTGACTTTGGATGTTCTGTTCTTACAGATTCTTATCCAAGCCTCTAATAAAAAGCTTATTGATAAAAGAATTAACTTGCATCTTACCCTTGCAAAACTTATCTCTGACCTGTCAAATTAATCTATGGGATATCAAAAGATGCCAATTGTAGGCATGAAGGTGTTAGGTCCTCAAAATTCAATCATGCTTGCTTCTATATATGTATGGCTGTTTTATAATTATATATGTGTGTGTACATGTATATATACACACACATATACATACACACCCAAACACAGAGAGGGGGGGGTTTCAAGCCTTAATGATATATATGCCATCATCTCTTTTAGCCACATTCCAGAGGACAAAATATATTGAATTGAATTGGCTAGTATAGACGATGAAACTCCATTTCTTAGATACCCTAATTCTTTTCCCGTTGTGATGGATTGGATATTCCCCATAGTGTAGGCTTGAGCCAGATTTATGACTTGGTCAACCAGGGTTCCCAGAGCCTCACCTCTATGAATACTTCTATGAGTATAATGAGTCTGAGTCTTTTTCCTGTTCTTAGCCAGGAAATAATAAAACAATTAGCCTCAAATGGAAGAAACAGTGGGAGTTAAACGTATGTGTTAGTTAGAAGGAACAGCAGTGCCCCACTTGTAGATCTTTTTCAGTTCATGGAGGGCTCTGTATCTTGTTGCCAATAAACCAGAACTGCCAATGTTCCTGGATGATGTCCTAATTTAATTATGACTTACAATTTATTGTAGCTTATGTTTCTGCAGAGCAAGGCGTGAAGTGTAGAAGATAAATGATCTGGGCTCATTTATATACTTACAACCTTTGTCTCAATGCTGTATAGGTACAGGCATGAATTTGTTTTATGTCATGTTTTATGTGTTGCACATTATGCAATATGCATTAGTGCCAAAAATCCTAGCTTCTCATACAAACTAAGGGGAGCAGAACTGGGAGTGACGAGGAAGCAAGAGATGTTGGAGTACAAGTAGTCCTTGACTTATGACTATATTGGAGCCTGCCCTTTATGGTCAGAGATCTTGATGGCTGTTAAGTGAAGCACTCAAGTGATTGCCTTGGGACTGCCCAATTGATGGCCACTTCCAGGATTGCATTACCTGGCCAACAACAAAGTGACTTGCTTCATTTTCTTAATGTGAACTCCACAGCATTCCATAATGTTCCGCAGCAATACAGAACACTGCAGAGTTGTGTTAAGAAAGCAAGGCAAGCTGCTTTGTTGCTGAGCTGCTTCCAGAGGTTACCCTGGTGGGGTAGGAAACAGGTCAAAACCTGCAGGGATTCAGTGGAGGGGAATGGAAGATAGAAAGGATGGGGAGCGCTGCAGTATATCTGTGATTAATCATAAGATTGAATGACTATATAGTCCCACAAACACTAAACACAATCATTTAGAACAGGTGTTTATTGGCCTCTCATTCCAAGGCCAAGGAGAACAGAAGGTTTTCCGGGAGGCACCGCTTCACATCTAGTGGCTCTTATCATAAGTCCCAGCTCCCTTATAAGCCCCAACATAGCCGCTGTTGTCTGTCAGCTCTGCACGCCCAGCTATCCCTTTGCCTTTGCCACTTTCGTCAAAGCGTTCCTTGTGAGAACCTGTGTATTTGCTGGTGTCTGTCAGTCTGTCTACTGCCCCAGCTGCAACAGCTTTCTGCAAGACAATTAAGCAAAGTGTTAGCTGCCTGTTGAAGGTGGATGTTGGCGAAGGGAAGATAATGGTGACAAGCTGATTCTCACACATGGGAAATTCACAGGTCTGTACAGGTGAGCTACAGGGATAAACAACAAGTGGGATGTGTGGCTTTTATTGACACCAAGAGGATCTACGTACTCGGTGAATTTTAGGCAGCCTAGATGAAAACAACCTATATTCTGTCTTTCCCAAATCTATTCTGGGGGGAAAATTAATAAAGAAACATTCTAGATTATGGGCTTTTTAAAGGGTTCTCACAGTATTTTAATGGTTCCTAGCATTGCCCTTTTGTGGAAAGAGAAGAGAGAGAGAGAGAGAGAGAGAGGAGAGAAGATAGAATGCGGTTACTGATTACTTGACTAATAGCTGAAGGTGCAGAAAAAAATCAGTGAAATGCACTGGATGAGAGGTAATACGGTTTCTTGAGTATCTTATGGAATTTTTCCAAAAAAGATTTCACTGGTTTTATTTCAGTGCCGTTTGGCGAGCCAGAAATAATTGGTTATAGTAATGCCAAAAGTGATGACCACAAGCTTGCAATCTATAGGAACCTGCCCTGCAGCTATGATGTGACCAGTAGCTTAGTCAGAAAAAAATAATTAGGAGAAGGAATAATAGAATAACAGAGTTAGAAGGGAGCTTGGAGGTCTTCTAGTCCAACCCCCTGCTCAAGCAGGAGACCCTATACCATTCCAGATGAGTGGCTGTCCAGTCTCTTCTGAAAAGCCTCCAGTACAGTAATGGAGCACCCACAATCTCTGAAGGTAAGCCCTTCAAGGAAGTAATTACTGGGAAGAAAGGAAGAGCAAGAAATGCGGGGAAAAGTCACTATGGCATGATGGGCACCCATATAAATCAAATTAATAAAAAAAACAAATTAAGTATAAGAGATTACAATTAAAGAATGTAGTGTCTCTGAACAGATCTTGCTCAGCTCTCTCTGGCAGCATCATTGATTGGCTGCATCCCTTACATGGAGGGAGCTCTTCACTCACCGTCACCCCGACACTGCCTGGTTCCTTGCCCTCTATCAACTGGTGAGTGGACTGTAAAGCTTCCTCAGGGGACTTTCCTTTGAAGCGTTTAGCACTCAGTTCCTTTATCGCTTCTTGGAATTCTGGATATGTGATGTTGCGAGCGCCCTTGGTCCTGGGGACACACAAATACATCAGCTCTGCTCCTTAGTACAAGACCAACCCTGAACAAGGCATCCAAGAATTTACAAAGAAGACAGCATTATAAACAACAATTGCAGGTGGTCCTCGACTTATGACCACAATTGAGCCCACAATTTATGTTGCGAAGTGAGACATTTGTTAAGTGAGTTTTGCCCCATTTTACGACTTTGCTTGCCACATTTGTTAAACGAATCATTGCAGTTGTTCAGTTAGTAAAATCGTTGTTAAGTGAATCTGGCTTCCCCACTGACTTTGCTTGTCATATGACCCCAGGACACTGTAAATGTCATAAGTATGAATCAGTTGTCAAGCATCCGAATGTAAGTCACATGACCATGAGGATGTTGTGATGATCTTAAGTGTGAGAAATGGTCACAGGACTGCCTATATTTCAAGACAATTATCCCATTAAGCATAAGGAAAAAAGATAACTATCCAATTAATAAGCCCACAATTATTTACAGAAGATGGCCTGTCAGAAAAATAATTTCTAGCTCTGATAACACTCTGCTCTAGCCTTCTTTACAGTAGGTTTCTGTTTGCATGAGGTTCTTTTTAAGCAGCCAGTAGAATTAAAGGAGGACAATGATCCCTTCCTGTAATGGTATGTGGGAATGACCTTGGAAAGACAGGAGGAAGATCTGCAGCCTAGACACAAGAGACTAAAATTACAAGGGGGGGATGAAATACTTGCAGTCTTGGGAAATTGATGTTAGAAATAATAGAAAATACTTGTAGCTCGGGTTTTTTATTTTGGCAGTGGTTTGTTTGCTAGCCCTGTTTCAATTTAGTCTCTGAACGTTTTGCTACCAGACGAGGTAACATCATGAGGGGGATTTTCTTGTCCTATTCCTCTTTAGCTTATTTATGTCTTATGGTCAGTTGGTCATGCGATTGGTTGTTCCTTTGGAGCTATATTTAAATTCTGAGCAGCTGATTTGGTTCTCTTGTTGATTGGTCATTCGAATGGCCTGGTTTCTTACGTATTTATAAATAAATATGCTTGTTAATTGCTTCTTTGGTAGAATATCAAGCTTCAATAAATTTACGTGTGAGGTGGGCGTTGGCACGGCCAGTGATTTTTGTTCCTTCCCAATCGAACTGATGTTGTTCATTGTCAATGTGGCTCAAGATCAGGGATTTTGGGTCATGCTGTTTTAACCACTAGCCAATGTTCAAGAACCCCTGTTTTCAATTGCCTTCCTGTTTGTCCCACGTAGAGCTGGTTACAATTGTTGCAATTGATTTTGTATACTATGTTGCTATTGTCTTCCTTCTGTATTGATGTCGGACTTGTGATGTAGTCCAGACAAGATGCACAGCCAGATGAACTGACCCTTCTTTATTGAAGTGTTATTGTAACATAATCTTGCAAAACTGAAAATGTTCCTCCCCTCCTCTCCTTTTAGTCTCCAGAAAACAAGGGAAGGCCCCTTTCGAAATGCTTCTCATGCTTTTCCCCCATCTGTGAACTGAGCTGCCTGATTACACTGTTGCCTAGGTTGTGGGCCTTCTTTTTGTCTTCCAAGGTCATTCCCACATACCATTACACTTCTACACAATTCTACTGAATCAGGATACCACTTTATCTTGCATTATTTTGCTTCCCACGTAGATCTGCCTTCAGCTATTTATGATTACAAACATGGCTTCTGCCAATTCATACTGGCAAGATCCTAGGCACCTTCATGTCATCCCCTTGGTCACTTTCAAAGCCACACAGATTGTACATTTATGAAGGTTTATATGGGGAGAAGAGGAACATGCCACTTTAATATTGGATCAAGTAAATGAAATTAGGTGGCCTCTGCTATAAGCTGGGGATGAGGAACAGGCCATACATTTTGGACATGTCCTTAAGAAATGGCTACCAAAGCATCTCTTTCATAGTAAAGGGACATGGCAGTGTGTTTTGAATGAAACAAACTATCTGGGTCACAATTTAAAAAGAACAATAATGCAGTAATAATTATTTGCACATAAGCCTTATTGAGATTGGATGCCTCTTCACAAATATATATACCATATATATATATATATATATATATACACACCAACCCTTCAGCTCACTTGACTTTATTGAAGACAATGTCCACATCAGTGCTGGTCACAGCTTTGCCATCCATTACACCACATTCCTTCAACATTTTGGAGAAGTTCTTGCCTGTCATGTCATTCCCTGTGGCAGCTGTGTCTCCATACACAGCAAATTTACGGAAGGCTTTTTCCAGCTCTGACATCCCTCTGCACTTGGGAAAAGGAAACAAAAGGAGGAAACAAAATAACTTTCAGGACTTGCTTATAAGTTCACCCCACCATGGCCAAAGCAAGGCCAGAAGGTAAGTTAGTTGCTAATGATGAGTTGCTGATCAGGATTTCATAAGATGGACCTCCTGGATATAAGGAAAGTAATTGAGACAGATAACTTGGTGCCCTTCAGTTGTGAATAATTCTGAGAGCCCCAGCCAAGAAATTCTACAGGATTTGATCCCATATGCATTATGCTCGTGTACAGTTGTAAACACATATACATTACTGGTTCTGAAATGACAAAAGTGTGTAGGAGATAACCAGGCTGAGCCTGAGGGAGAGTCAAACCTATCATCAGTTCCTACAAGCCCACAAGAGATCTAAGTCCAGCTCATCTTGAATTCTGTTGACTCTTATCTACTGTATGCCAATTTGCTTTTTACTATTAGTACTTCAAACTCTAGTAGAGAATTTAAATTTGCAATAAACCTATATATTCATTTGAACTATCTGGACTCCTGATTTCCTACCCTTGACAAAATGTCACAAAATACAGTCAAACAAGTGATCCAAACTAGAGACACCTATGGTGCCAGTTCCATTGGGATCTAGAATCATTAATTCATTCAGGTGTTCCATGAATAAAGCTATCAATTCATTGTAGAATATGTTAGGCTTATGGCATACAACACAAGTGAATTATCTTTTGGAATTCAGTAGCTAGAGTTAGCATTTATACCAAAATCTTCAACAATGCAGAATCTAGAGGGAATTGAATACATTCCATTGAATAAGAGAAAGCATTCAAAGAAATGTGAGGGAAGCAGGTGGATTTTGAGAAGTGATTCCCTTTATGGAGCAAATATAGAATTCATTTATAAATGGGCAAAGCAAAAAATAAAATAAAATTCAAAATAAGTAATCTTAAAGCTTCTTGCCACAGTTTAAAAATGTAGCATTCATAAATATATACATTTGGGGGCAGTGAGTATAATTTTGGTTCAGAACAGGGAAAAAATAGTGATGACACTGAAAAAAGTAATTTGTAATTTAAGACAATGAGAATTACAAATTATGATGAAAAGATGGGGAGGGAAGGAGTAGGATGAACGAGAGGGAGGTGGGATCTTCTATGGTCCATCAATCAATCTGCTATTGGTCCATCAATATTTATTTGCTTCTTTCATGTTCAGAATCAGAAAACAGTATGAGTTCATTCTTTCTCACAATTCCTTTTGTTATAGCAATGCAGGCAACCTGCAAGAATGTCCAACAGACCAAAGCTCACCCACTTCCTCCTATAATCACTTTGATGGATAAATATCATCACAATCAGTTAAATTAGAATACAAGGCATCAGGCTGAAGGGAGCATTTTTCAACAAAAGGGATCACAAGCTATTTTGTCTTGGGTTAAAATATGTATTAGTATTTGTCTGTGATCAATTTCTAGTATTGCTTCTGTTTCTGATGTTTAAGTATCTTTTTCTGCAAGAAAATATGTTAAGGACACATTTTAAGAGCAGATAGAGAGTAAACCCAAGAAATATTAGATAGGAGAAAGACTGTACTTAAAAAGAGATTCTAATGTGACAGTACAATTATTGAAATAATGACCAAATGAGGAAACATACATTTTAAACTGCTATATTATACAAAAAGGAAGGCTTATAAATACTAGAGCTCAGAATTTGATTTTTCTACTTTGCCCATTTATAAATGAACTCTGATCTGGTCATGAGTGAAAAATATTGCCAGATCCTTAAACTCATGTCTGCTTGGAAGACTATCTTGAAATTCTTTTCAATAACATGGGTCTCATGACTTTGATCAGAGTAGTGTTCCTAAACGTAGTAACTTTAAGAAAGGTGGACTTCTACTCGCAGAATTCCCCAGCCCAAGTTGAGGATCAAAGTATTGAGGTTTAAGCCAAAATTGAGCCATTTGGGATGCATGGGAAGGGGCCAAATAAAAAAAAAATGGGGGAACCAAATTCCATGCTTGCTACCAGAAGAAGGAGGAATAAAACTAAAACTGGAAAATAGCAAAACCCTTTATCATCTATGGTAAAAGTACACTTGTCTCATGGTGTTCTGGTTGCCACACCATTTTTTAGTTCAAAGAACTAAAAGTTCAAAGAAATGCAGCTAGATAATTTAGGGGCTACCACAATTTCCATAGGAAGAAAGACAACAGTGCCTGAAGCTTTTTAGCTTGGAGACAAGGCATGAAATGAGACTCCTTATAGAGCTATACAGTATAGAAAAATCATGCATGATATAGAACAGGGCTTTTCAACCAGTGGTACGGGTACCACTTGTGGTACATTGGCACCTGGCAGGTGGTACTCGACCATTCTAGAAAAGTGGTAGCGGGGGAGGGGAATGAGCTGAACCGGTGGCAGCACTGCACAAGTCTGAGCGAGAGACAGCTGCAGCTGCATGGTGTCAAGGCTCAGCGGAAGCACCAGAATCAGCACCAGGCTCCAGCTGGAGCTCAGCACTGATCCTGGCACTTCTGCTGAGCCCAGAAGAACCGTCAGTCAGCTGGAATGTTGCAGCCTCTCCAGGGTCTTGTGATTTACATTCTGATGCTTGGCAACTGATTCATATTTATGACGGTCACAGTCCCAGGATCTTGTGAAGTAACCAAAACCTGCTGCAACCACCCAGCAGATGAGGGGAATAAAAACCAAACACCCCTCACCCCATCCCCGCTGCCAATCCTCAACAGAAATGCTCACAACAATGAAAACCTTGGACAGGAGGAAGAGTGCGGCAGGGTGGGCCAGCAGATGTCTTGCTCGGCTGTGGCTTGGGGGGCACTTTTTTCAGTGCCATTGTAACTTCGAACAGTCACTATGTGAACTGTTGTAAGTTGAGGACTACCTGTATTTTATCACTTTTTTCTTTCTTTTTTTTTTTTTTGGTCATCAAGTTTTTGACACCTTGCTAAGCGATTGGTGGTACTCGGATGTTGCCATATCCTAAAAGTGGTACAATGGGTGAAAAGGTTGAAAAGCCCTGATATAGAAAATGCAGATAGAATTTTTTTCTCCTTCCCTCACAGTGATAATATGGGTTCATCTTTTAAATCTAAATGCAAGATTTAGAACTGATTAAAGAAAGGTGTACCTTCAAGTATTATACACACCTAATTTGTGGAATCTATGGTTATAAAATTTGGGGATTGTGTGAATTCAGCATCTTCCAAAGGGGAAGGTCAAAAAAAGGAAAGGCAGAGAAAACAGCATTACAATCCAACCCATGATCTGCATATACATTTTAATTTTAAAAAACACTGTAAGATAGAGTAACTCTTCTGAGTTTATTCTGTGAATGGCAATTGGATTCTGGATCTCATCAGTCCTACTATTAATTGTCCAATGTAAACCAAGAAAAATAATCCCTCCTCAAACAACTGGAGCAACACAGTCTATAACTAAAATCACTTTTCTCCTGTATACCATTTAGCCATTCCTTTCCCACTTCCTTAATCCTCTTTAAAACTTTTGCACAGCTGATAATTGCAAATTGTACTATATATTTTTAAATAAAATAGAGCAGTGATGGCGAACCTTTTAGAGACCGAGTGCCCAAACTGCGACCTAAAACCCACTTATGCATTGTCGGGTGCCAGGTGGGTGTGGCCCATTGGCTGGGTGTGGTCCATGGGGTGGCATGGCTGCGGTGGTAACGGCAGACTGGGTGAGGCTAAAAAGTTCAATCAATCAATTCCATGTTTGCAAGATCTTTTTTTTTCCTGCGAGAAGTTGAAATTGACTGATTGATTGAACCTTTTTTTTTTACACGGCAGTGGAGGCCTAAAGCGAAAAGGTTTTATAAAACCCAGCTGAAGGCCTAGGACTGGGGTCACAGCGCGCGTGCCCACAGAGAGGGCTCTGAGTGCCGCCTCTGACACCCGTGCCATAGGTTCGCCACCACTAGAATAGAAGTTCAGAAAGCAGTTACAGGAGCTCTGTGAGAAGAAGCTGGGCCCAGTCTACATATTTCTTGCCTTCATAACTGTATTAATAAGAATTTTGAAATAGCTGAAAATGGGAGTGGCACAAAATGTGATGCTCTAGCTTTGAAAGTTTTGCTTCAAAATTCTTTCAGAAATGAGTCATTAAGGCATAGAAATTTTTCTTTTATTGTGTGTGCATCTTGACTTTCTTTAAGGGTTTATGCTGGTATCTTGCTCTTTTTCTATTCATAACAATGCTATAAGGTAGATTGGACAGGGGAATGTCTAAATGTAACCAAGATAAAATGCCTTCAAGGCCCTTAAACATGGTAGATTATATCTATCACTTCCGAGCAGCAAGGCTGTGAAATGAAGTCTAGAGGACTTTTTTCCAATGATAATTAGTTTGAAGATGGACTTACCTAAATGGCCTTGGGGGCCCCTGCCTTACTCTTTCTTGAGTATGTTTCTCCTAGGAATGACAAGGCCTGCTCTGAGTTTGAACCACCAGGGCTTAGGAGTTTACTTTACAGTGGGAATTGTGACTTTATCAAGTTGTCTATGACATCATGGCTGATCTCACTTTGGTAATTTGATTGCCTTTTAGCTACAGATGGCCAGTGGTAAGAAGGTTGATTAATTTCAAACTTCTTTAGCATTTCAGACCCAGCAACATATCTAGGAAGAAGCTGGAGAAAAGTCACCATGATGAAATAAGGTAACTCATCCATAATTGTTGCATGACCCTGAGATAGCATTTTGACAAATTATACAGAGATCTGTATGCTAGCTTTAAAACTCCTTGAATATTAGCATTGAGGCAAAATAAACTTGATTCCTTTTACTGTGGTGTAGGTACATGGGTAGGTAGGAAGGAAGGAAGGAAGGAAGGAAGGAAGGAAGGAAGGAAGGAAGGAAGGAAGGAAGGAAGGAAGGAAGGAATGATTTTAATCATCTGTGTATATAATTATTTACAATGGTTTATTTTCTTTTATTAATGCCTATAATAAGGTTGGGACAGTTAACCTTAAAAAAGAGATGGGAGGTGGGAAAAAATAAATAGGGAATGCAAATTTATTTCACTCTCATCTTTTTTTCCGTATTTACCAGTAAGGAGCCCAGTTTATGTCAACAGTTGTCTTACTCATGTGCCAGAGTTAAGACAGTGAACACCAGGCAAGACTATCCACAGGACAAATGGTGGCAGAATTAACTGGGAGCAGGAAAATGGGTGCAGAGATCTATTGATCCAGAGAGCCTGTGGGAAAGTAGGCTGAAAACCTGCATCTTGCAACCCTTATCTGTTCAGCCCTATTGCTACAAAAGGCTTAAACTACTGCTACCATACTTGCCTACATTCTTTGCTTCCTTCCAGAAGTTATCCAGATTTTTGAGGCCCAAAGCTGCATGCCATACTTAAAATTTGCAAAAACTTCATGTTAATAAAATAACCCATTCGCTCCCACAAGTGTGTGTTCTTCTATGGCTACAACTGCTGTAAAGGAATCTGTTAAGAGCAGGCAATCTATGGCCCAAGTAACTGACAGGAGCTGCTGGAATTTTAACACACCAACATCTGGAAAGCCATTGATTCCTAAAGTTAAAGGGCTTGGAAGTTTCTCTATACTACTATTGGTTTTCATATATAGCCATATTTTTAAGAATAGATAGAAATGAGCTCAGCTTCTTTCCCAGGGCAATCTCTCATTGCTTGCAAACCTGCTTGTAAAAAAATTAATTGGTTAATTAATTGATTAAAATATGATTGATATTCAGTATCTTCCATAAGCCCTCTGAAATACCCTTACCTACTATATCGATATGCAAGGTTCTGAAGACAAGAACCAAGTATAGAATTTCCTCTTCTCTATGGTGGCCAAAATATGCCCAGTTATCACAGATAGTCAACATTGCTTATGTATGATCAGAAATCCTGACTCTTCCCTCTTAAAATACATTTAATTTTCACAACTTCAGGAAGGGAACCCAAAATTTGGGTACTGAAATCTGCTATAAGAATGGTAATCATGCTAAAATAACATGCTGCTCTATTTGGCCATGGATCGTTCCAAGATTAATTGTACTGATCTCCCAGCATGAATTTCTTTGCAGCTTTGTGCTAGCTGAAAGCAATTCTTCAGGATACAGTTAACTTGGTTGGGCCAAAGTGGTCCAGTTCAGCGACCTGGTTGGGTGATCCTAAGCAACACATTCACTAAACACAGAGTAACAGAGGCAAAGTGTTTCATAAACTTCTCCAAGGACAAAGGGAGGTTCTCAAAAGATGCTACAAGTTCTGCCTAACATCTGGGGATTTGTATAGTTGGGTGTTATAATGTACAGTAGCTCCCACTTTATGTTAGATCGTCTATAACAGTGGTTCTCAACCTGTGGGTCGGGACCCCATTTGGGGTCGAACGGCCATTTCACAGGGGTCGCCAAACAAGGCTGTCCGCCATTTTTTTCCCCTTTTCTTTGGCCACGCCCCTGGCACCCGGTGATATATAAGTGGTTGGGGGTCACCACAACATGGGGAACTGTATTATGGGGTCGCGGCATTAGAAAGGTTGAGAACCACTGGTCTATAACTTAAGCTATCCCTCCAGTCTCACTGCCACTTGTCCAACTTTTCTCCTGAGAATGTGTTTGCCTATATTCTTCAGTTGACCACAGAATTCCAGAGCAAATGCACTTGAGAGTTTTAGATGTGGGTTAGATCTAAAATTTAATTCAAAATCAAATCCAGATTCATTCCAGGCCAATCTGCTGTAATTTCAGGTTACAGCTCTCCTCATTTTCCACCAACAGGTAAATTCAGCAGCATGCTGATTTGTGTACTTTGTGCAAAGAAAATGTTTGTTTGTATTTTTTTTTACAATTTATTTTGCCTAAAACAAAGGATATGATTCCCTCATTGGAAATCTTCATTTATATGATTTTGGACATTTTAGTATATTCCTCTGTTTTTAAATATATCCTTGCAAACAAAGAGACTAAAAATATTTTTTTTTTTCAAAAAATAAACTTACAGTAGTTCTCAAGGTACTGAATTCTGTGCCTAGCATCCCATTCCATACTTATTTCCTATATTCCCATGGAAAAAGAACAAGCTACATCCTTTTGCTCAAGTAATTCAAATGTACAGCGTTTTGAAATCAGGCTGTCTCTCCTGTGCAAAGGAACCTTCACTCACTTGTTCCTCCAGGTTGGATGGCTTTTTCCCCTCCATTAGCTTCAATATGGCCTGCAGGGCTTCCTCGTGAGATTGTTCTTTACAGCACTTTCTGCTCAGCAATTTAATGGCTTGCAAAAACTCAATATAGTTAATGTGATTGGCCCCCTTAAACCTGCACGAGACGGAGGGGGAAATCAATTAACCATATGCTAGTGGATTTTTCATTTCCCCCTAAGCTGTGACGCAGCGGTGAACCACTTATTCTTGCATGCAATTCCCATACCTATCCTTAAAGCTGACCAAACTTTGAAAAATGGCTGAATTCAGCCTAAAATGCAAGGCAGACTGGGATTTGGGACTTTCAAGAGTAAAAATGGTGACGATTAGCACTCTAAGAGCCTCCTGTTCCTTTTGCTACCTAAAACCCTAAAAACAGAATAAAAAGAAAATGAAAATTGTTGTTCCTTCTGGGAAACTAGAAGCTGAAATACACTATCTGTCCCTTCCAACATGGCCCACCACTGCTGTAAACCAGACGGCTGAAATCATATAAGTCTCTAAGATTAAGGCTTTAATCTCTGGGATAAATACAGTATCCAGGGATCTGTGAATTTGGATGGGAAAAGAGTTACAACTTTATTTTCACTAGCCTTAACTGAAATTTAACTTTTCAAACAGACAACACAGTAAATTATGGCCTCTAGACTCCAAAAATGTTTAGTTTCAATAAATCTGCCTAAGCTCTAAAAAGTATTGTCTTATATTGAAACATGTAGTACATTATTACAAATATGTCAATTTAAAAAAAATACTCAAACAAACATAATTTGTTTCCTTATAACTTCTATCTATGCATTTTATTTTATTCATTTGAATATATCTTTTTGAGAACTATTATTTTTCACCAGATCTTTAAAGACATTTATGACACAATGAAGGAAGGACATCTTCTTAATATGGTTTGTGGGTGCAGAAAACAGTATTTGGGGTCTAAACAGTGCCAACTGTGAACAATTAGTAAGTAATCTTAGTGTTTTCAGTAGCCCCTGCAAGCTTGTTTGCAATGTTCCCACCATTATCATTCCAAGCTCACTTGACTTCATTGAAGGCAATGAGCACATCAGTGCTGGTCATGACTTTCCCATCCATCACATCACATTCCTTCAACATCTTGTAGAAGTTCTTCCTAGACATGGTGTTCCTGTGAGTAGCTGTGTTTCCATACGCAGCAAATCGAAGGAAAGTTTTTTCCAGTTCTGACATTCCTTCTGCAAGAATGAAGGGAATATGATGTCCTTAGAAAAGGACCTAAATTTGGGTCAAAAGGGGAGGAGGGCAACACCTTTGAAAAGGTAACTGAGGGTTCTTGCTGGAAGCCAGTAATGGGAGTTGAAGACAAACTCTCACCACGAATTTATTTATTTATTTATGAGACTTATATACCGCTTTAAGTGCAAGCACTCTCTAAGCGGTGTACACCAGTAAGCAATGTATATATATATTTACATTGCCCCCAGCAATCTGGGTCCTCATTTTACCTACCCCAGAAGGATCGAAGGCTGAGTCAACCTTGAGCCGGTGAGATTTGAACCGCTGACCTGCTGAACACAATCAGCTAAAGTGGCCTGCAGTACTGCACTCTAACTGCTGCACCACCTCGGCTCAATAATGGCTATAGCAGCAATTCTCACTTCTTGCTGAAAAAGCCATAATTTTTCTCAATATACACAATCCTGAGCCTGAAGTCAAGAATACTAATTATGTTCTTAATTGGTAAGAAGTGTTCCACTATCTGAAGACATTTCTTATAGCTGGATAGCTTTATAAGGGAAAACATAAATGATGTTTCACAAAACAAAGATTGAGTTTTACACTAATCATGAAAGGTGCACCTTTATTGGCTGCTGGTAATCTTTGACAAAGTGGCATTTATCCACCTTCCAATGTATTGCCTAGGAAGGACACAACTAAGCAGTTCATTTCAAATTTCATTCTTAAAAGAGCATTACAGTTTTAAAAACATATTGCATTTCAAAAGTATGCACATTTTAAGTTTTGGGATGATTTGTCCTGATATCTTTAGCATAAGATTGGAGATGACTTCAGAGATCATCTGATCCAATGTTTTTTCAAACCTGGCAATTTGTTCCCAACTTGCAACCATGGCTGGCTAGAGAATTCTGGGAGGTGAAGTCCACACATTTTAATGCCGCTAAGTTTGAAAATACTCATCTAGTTTAACCAAGTACCAAAGCATAACTCTCACCGTTTTTGACCTATTTTCCTGTTACTGCAGCCACTGGCAGAATTTTTATTATGTTGCAGAAAGTGCAGCCCTATTAAGTCCTCTTTATACATTGCCTGAAAGCCACCTATACATATAATTTGAAATAGTGATTATGACCTTGTAGTTTGCCTATGATGTCATCATTAATGTAAAATTTCAATTCCCTATCAAGAAATGAAGCTTTGTGGAAAGAAGATGCCTCTTTTTGAAGCAGCAATAACAGGCAGCTCAAAGTGATGCAATGCACAGTGATGCCTATGGTAGTAAAATTCTTCATCATCTCAAGGATTATATTATATACAGAGTATTGACCTTTTTAAAAATGAGTTTTAAGTTCTGGCATGTCAATCTAGTGAAGAACTACTATTCAAAACTGGGATTTCATGAAGTCATTCCAAAACATATTTTCTTCTAATACTGAATAGTAAATTGTATTTCTGAGCTATTCTACTTTCTCTGAAAAGAAAATAGAGTGTGGCTTATCTGCAATCCATTTTGAAAAATACCATACTGGGCTACATCCAAATGTCATTGTTCTTACTACACATGAATTTATTTTAAAACTAGTGGATGTGATCTGCTACTACAATAGTCTATTCAATTTGATGCTATCTAAATATGCTGGAAATTTTGGTAGTCCCCATCTAGAGCAAAGGATCTGAAAGTCCAGTTATTTGTATACTAAACTTTTGTTTACTAGTCTTGATGTTTTGCAAAGAATTAAGATATGACAAGTGTGATTTATGAACCATGAGTGCATGTGCAAATACGAAAATTGTATGAAAAATGCTAATTTATAATGTAAGCCTGTGAAAGCTAATGATGCCTGGATAGGTAGAAATGCTAGATCAGTGGTTCTCAACCTTTTTAATGCCGCAACCCCCAATCGGTCATAAGTCAAGGACTACCCAACTGGTCATAAGTCAAGGACTTTCCCTGCCTGGGAATGCCACGCATGCATGGTGCCGCCCCCTGCGCCGGCCGAGGCGTAGCTGGCAAGCAGCAAAGACGGCGCAGGCTGACCACCGGCTGGGCCACCAGCTGGCCCAACCCAAGGGAGGTAAGGCACCCGCCGGGCCCCACACGTGCCAGCAACCCTCCCTGCGCCCGCCGGCCTCCCACCTCCGGCCCTCTTTTACTTACATTTTTAGTAGTTGCTCAGCAGGGAGAGGTGGAAGCTTCCAGAGAGCTCGCCTTCGCTGCAGACAACTTGCAGCACTGTTTGCAGAATGGGACTTTTGGCGGGCTCAGCAGGGCAGAGACAGCCTGGACAATTCCTATTGGCTTTTGAAAGCCAATAGAATTAGACTCTATTCAAGAGAGTCTATTCTATTGGCTTTCAAAAGCCAATAGAATAAAAGGGAGTAGCATAGCTAAGGAAAAGGAGGAAAAAAATGGCAGACTGCGTTGTTTGGCGACCCCCGTGAAATGGTTGTTCGACCCCAAATGGGTCCCGACCCACAGGTTGAGAACCACTGTTCTAGATCAACTGTTTTTTATGCCTGGAATTTCAGTATGATTCTCTATCCAGTGGCTGAACAGGTGCTCAATCACTAAAGAGGCATTGAATCACCTTGGATAAGCATATAGCCTGCTCTTTCCACAAATTTGGATGCTTGGTGTGCCTAACAAAACAACTTGAGCAACAAGCTCCATCCTTCACAACATTCCTGCACCTTCCACTGGTGACACTTAGGATCACAGCTTTAATTTAACTTATTCAAAAGAATTCAGTATAGATTTCAAACCTGGTGCAGTTTGTCAAATTAACACAAAAAAAAGACAATACTGTGCTTCCCCATCAGAGAGAAATCAGAAGCAATTTCTGTGTGTTTAATTTTATAAATCCTATTTGGGAGAGGCAGATTATGCTCAGCATCTGTGTATGGCATCCTCCTCTTTCACAAGTTGTTAGATGAGCATAAGCTTTGCAGTGCTGCCCAGAACTTGGTGTGGAAAGACAGCACACAGAGATGCATTTTTATTATCTAACTTCTTTTTCTCCTACTTCATGACATTTCCTATCAGTTTTTTGCTACTTTAGCAGCTGTACAAAACATGAATGAGCACCCACAAATGGCATAATTTAGGTCTGCACTCCATGTATGTAAACATGAACATGTTTAGTCAAATAACGAAGTCAAAAGACATAAAGACCACACTTTTATTAGACAATGTATTGCTTTTTCCATGCAACTATGTGTGTAGTTCCTCGAATTTGATGCATTTCTGCCTTATTTTATAAACTTATGTGCTCCCATCTCGTCAAAAGTGTGATACAAAGCAGCTTACAAAACAAAAACATAGAAAACAGTTAAAATTAGCAAAAGCAATAGCACTTAGACTTATATACCACTTCATAGTGCTTTAAAGCCCTCTCTAAGAGGTTTAGAGTCAGCATATTGCTCCCAAATAACCTGGGTCCTCATTTTATCAACCTCGGAAGGATGGAAGGCTGAGTCCACCTTGCGCCAGTAAGGATAGATCTCCTGGCAGTGAGCTGAATTACCCTGCAATACTGTATTTTAACCACTGTGCCACCATGGGTTTTTAAAATTAAGATTTTTTAAAAAAATTAATTAATATTTAAAATTAAGATAACTTATGTAAGAACTAAAACCAAGGGGGTGGATGGCATGGGAGTGAGGTCTTCTCTTACTGGGTCAACCTCCTCCAGCAAACAACACACACATACACCCCAGACAGCAGGCAAAACCAGGTTTTAAGGTCCTTCTGGAAGGCCAAATGGTGAGGGGCAGATCTCACTGGCAGTAGAATATTCCACGTGGTGGGAGCCACAGTAGAAAAGGCTCTTCTCAACGCTGCCAACTAAAATTCCTTGAGAGGGTCTGCAGCAAGCCTTTTCTGCTGGAGCAAGCAGGCAGGTTAAACCCATTATTTTTTCCTGGAATGAATCTGACAGATTCATTGTCAGGAGGTTCAGGCAACCACTGAAGACTTTTTTCACACTGAGGACAAATAGAGGATTTCTGGAGCTTAATGCACTTGTCATTGGCTAAGTGTATTTCTTTAGTGTGAATCCTTTCATGGCTGGAAAAGACAGGATGTGGGAAGCTTTGGTACATTTGCCTCTCATCAATTTTATTTTAGAGTAAACATGGGTTTGCTGGACAAGGTCAGGCTACACCATCAGTTTCCCAGTGTAACCATAACTGTACTGCATAATTTCTGGATATTAACATTTTTCTGGAATGAACATGCCGATATTTAGCAAAGGCTTAGAAAGCCATTGGAAGTTTTTTTTTCTACATTCACAACAGATGCGCAGCTTCTTGAGCTTGGTGCATTTGCTTCTAGTCATTATTTCCCAGAATGAGAGCATTTAGGTTGAACAAGGGAGAAACCCCTTAAAATTCTTTTTACAGAGTATACCCAAACAGCTTTTGAAGCTTTATGTGTTTATTTCTATGTGACATTTCTCTAAAATAAGTGTGTTCATGTCAGGCAAAGTCAGAGGGCCTTTGGAAACCTTTTCCACACTGATAAAAAATATGTGATGTGTTGAGGCATTGCTTGCCTTTCAGTAATTATTTTCTACAATGAGTGTGTTCATGTCGGGCAAGATCAGAAGGCCATGTGAAGCTTTTTCCACACTGATCACAGATATAGGATTTGTTGAGCTTGGTGCACTTGCCTCTCTCAATAATTTTTTTCTAGAATGAGTGTGTTCATGTCGGGCAAGATCAGAAGGCCATGTGAAGCTTTTTCCACACTGATCACAGATATAGGATTTGTTGAGCTTGGTGCACTTGCCTCTCAATAATTTTTTTCTAGAATGAGTGTGTTCATGTCGGGCAAGATCAGAAGGCCATGTGAAGCTTTTTCCACACTGATCACAGATATAGGATTTGTTGAGCTTGGTGCACTTGCCTCTCAATAATTTTTTTCTAGAATGAGTGTGTTCATGTCGGGCAAGATCAGAAGGCCATGTGAAGCTTTTTCCACACTGATCACAGATATAGGATTTGTTGAGCTTGGTGCACTTGCCTCTCAATAATTTTTTTCTAGAATGAGTGTGTTCATGTCGGGCAAGATCAGAAGGCCATGTGAAGCTTTTTCCACACTGATCACAGATATAGGATTTGTTGAGCTTGGTGCACTTGCCTCTTAATAATTTTTTTCTAGAATGAGTGTGTTCATGTCGGGCAAGATCAGAAGGCCACGTGAAGCTTTTTCCACACTGATTACAGATATAGGATTTATTGAGCTTGATGCACTTGCCTCTCAATAATTTTTTTCTAGAATGAGTGTGTTCATGTCGGGCAAGATCAGAAGGCCATGTGAAGCTTTTTCCACACTGATCACAGATATAGGATTTGTTGAGCTTGGTGCACTTGCCTCTCAATAATTTACTTCTGGAATGAGTTTGTTCATGTTTGGCAAGTTGAGAATGACACTGGAAACTCTTTCCACATTGACTACCTGTATAGCATTTGTTGAGTTTGGTGCACTTGCCTCTCAATAATTTTTTTCTAGAATGAGTGCGTTCATGTCGGGCAAGATCAGAAGGCCATGTGAAGCTTTTTCCACACTGATCACAGATACAGGACTTAATGAGCTTGGTGGACTTGCCTCTCACTAATTTACTTCTTGAATGAGTGTATTCGTGTTGGACAGATTGAGAAGGCCACTGGAAGCTGTTTCCACATTGACTACGTGTGTAGTATTTATTGAGTTTGGTGCCCATGCTTCTCAGTATTTTTTTTCTAGAATGAGTACATTTATGTTGGGCAAGTTTAGACCACTCAAAATTTTTTCCACACTGTCCACAAATATAGGATTGTTTTAGCTTGGCATACTTACTTCTCATTACTTTTGTTATAAAATGAGTCTGTTTATGTTGGGCGAGGTGGGAAGGCCAATAGAAATGTTTTCCACACTGATCGCAGATATAGGATTTGGTGGGTTTGGTGCCCTTTCCTCTCATTAATTTTTTTCTAGAATGGTCCGAAGGCCACTTGAAGCTTTTTCCACAGTGACCACATGTGTAGGATTTGTTTTTCTGAGTCGACTGGTTTGTCTTCAGATGGGAAGGTTGATCAAATTTCATGAGACCAGGTGGCAAACCATTTTGATCATCTACCTTTGATGGGCATTGTTTCTCACTAGCTTTCCCAGAGTGCACAACTTTATATTGAGCCAGGTCAGAGGACCATGGGAAGTCCTTCCCACATTCTGTACATATCTTCAGACTCTTGAAATGGAAACCTTGATTTATTGTTTGATTTGACTGAGGTTTAATTGTTTCAGAAGATCCTATAATTTTACTTTCCATTTGAAATTGACTTAAACAGCCTGCTTGCATTTTAAATAGGTCCTGTGTGTCTATTTCCCCTCCCAAGGGAATATGTCGATGATGTTTGGTCAACAAACAATGACATTGGAAATTGTTCTTATCACAGTTAGAAGTGTACAAATTCTTGGCATAGTTCTTTTGATCTATGGGAATGTTTGATTTTTCACTTAATGTTTTCTCTGCTTGCAGCGGAATGAGCATTGCATTTTTTGGATTGTATGCTTCCAAATGGAACAGTTCATCTCTATCTGCTTTCAAATTATCAAGATGTTGTTGAGCACAAAGAGAATGACAGCATCTTCCACATTGTTCATTGTGTTGTTTCCCTATATAAGGACTTGTGAGCTTTGAGTTTAAGTTGGATGTTTCACAAGAGTCTACAAACATGTTCCCCGTCACATGGGGAACAAATGAAAAGGTACTAGATTTATTTATTTTTGACTCACTCTGTCTAGTCAGTTCCTCCTTAGGCTGTATATGCCACTTAAGTACAGAGGACCTGCAGAAATCCTTTCCACTCCGATGGCAGAGATACAGCATTTTGGCATGAGTGTTATGATCTCTTGACATTAGTTGGAATGTTTCCCAAGAGGTTGCACACATACTGTTTTCCTGCAAAAAAACGGAGATGGGTGCCAAATAACTTGGATTTCTACCTTCCAAATGAAGCTGGTCTTGTCTATCTGCTGCTCCTCCCAAATATAGTAGCTGATGCTGGATAAGCTCAGAAAGCCACTGATATTCCTTTCCACACTGGTCACAGATATGCAGATTTTTAGTCTCACTCCTCTCGTCTGTCACTTGTATTGTATTTGGACCAACTGCTTCATCAACATAGTCTATTATATTCTCTGCCTGAGGAGGAACAGGTACTAATGCACTTCCATAGCATGCTTCTGGTATCAGACTGCTTACTTCTGATTTGCAGTTTTGATCCTGCCAAGCCGAATTTTCATTTGGAGGCGCATTTTTATAATATTGGAAAAGGTGAGGTAGCCCTTGGTTATTTTCTCCACAATGATCACCTATTAAATGATTTTTAGTTTGGCTGTTCTGGTCTGGCACTAATGAGTTGTATATTTCCAATCGCTCCCAATTAAATTGCTTGTTCTGCATGGGCACTCTACTGGCACAGACCACATTTTTATATTGGGCAAATAGAGATGGCTGCTGAATGTCCGTCTTAGGCCTTTCACAAAAGTACAGATTCTTAGCTTGGCTGTTGTGGTTATTAATTTGTTTTGAGCTTTGGCTATTTGTTTCCTCATCCTTTACAGAGATGATCTTGTCCTGCTGGGGTACTGAAAGGTTGGTCACAATTTTGTCTGATTGCCCCTGATATTCCCAAACTGCTTCTGCCTTTGCTGAATTCTCCAATGATACTTTCTCAGCAGTTGTCAGCTGATCAGTTGGCAAACCTTCATTATCTGTCAAAATTAAAAACACTAAAAATAATATCTGGAACCTTTGGGCTCACCTTGAGCATAAAACTGACCCCTAAACTTTAAACATGTACTTTAATTGTAGGAGAAACAAACATCATTCCTTAAATGTAGGGAATTTGCTCTGGCAAGTAAGCTTGCCAAACTTGGTTTATGTGCAGCCATAAAAACTTGACATGTTATAACCATCATCATATGAGATTGTTGAGATTTAGTGATTTCATGATTTGGGGAAAATAGTAGTTATTTTGGTAATGGAAATGTTGGAACCGCCAGCATCTAACAGAATGATAAGAAAATTGGGCTAATATTAATCTCAAGCCTTAAATTACACAAGCAAGCAAGCATATGGTATAGCTCCTTGGTCAAAACCATTCCAATATGCTTCTCTGAATATTTCTTCAAAATTACGCTGTACATAAAGTACCAGGGAGTCAGGCTTCAGCCTGTTTTTTTTTCTTTTGACATTATAGCTTGCCTCAGTCTAAACCTGCAAGTTGAATTGTTAGGCAAACTCAGTTTTTAAACCAATTAGAACAGACTGAAGATAATAAAACCCTATTCTAAAAAAGAGCTTATGTACTTAGGCTTTTTAACATTTCAGGCCATGGATATATAATTAGGATTAAGAGGAAAAAATAGCCATAAGGTGTAGTTGGTTGCATCGCACTCCTGTCAGCGGCACCAAGGCACTTCCGAGTGGAAAGAATTAGGCAGTGACATCACTGTTGCCTGGGGATGCCCATTTGGGGGCTCCTTTCATATCCCCGGCAGGATCTGGAGTGAAGGATGGGAGCTCATCCCACAGTAGTACTCGGGTCTCAAATGTGAGCTTGCTGCTCATCAAGCCAATGTTCTAACCATGAGAAACACCATGCTCCCGGTATAGTTGATAAGCACAGATCACTTCTCATCCACTGGGAGTTTTATCTTTGGTTGGATATACATCTATCACTGACTCACCAACAAATTCAGGACTGTGAGGATCCAAGATGCATAATTGACCTTGTTCTGTTAAAGAGTTGGCATTAAAGTGGAATTCTGAGCATTCTGCAAAGGACAAACAGGTAGATGTTATTACAGTTTGCCTAATAAAAGAGCTGCCAAATGGTACAGTTCCCAGCAACCAAATCAGGATTCTTTCACAACCATAGGTGTTGCATTATTATTATTCCTCGAAGTCCTAAATCATGTTTAGTTCCTTGGCTTGTGGGCCATGTTGACTGAATTCATGAACTACATTAAGCCATTATATGGTTGTGCAGTTTTGTCTCAACATAGTATCTGAACTCAGTCATTGTTATTTTTAAGTCAGAAGGGTACAATTTGATGCCACAAGGATGTATGTGGTTGTCAAAGATCTTGGGTGTCAATCATGGAGATTTCATTGTAATTTTTAACCATGACAAGGATAATAAATAATGAAATAGATTCTCCAGATTATTGGAGAATAGTTACAATTACTATACTTGATTTTACTTAAATTTAAATGTAAACCACTTGAAATCAGATTTAACTTTTGTTTTGGGTCTATTTCTTCTAGTCCTCCTTAGAGAAACATACCACAACCCTCCACACAAAAAAGACATGTAACCTGAGATGTGAGCTGAAAATTTTTCCACTTCAGGCAAGTTTGGCAATTTCAAACCTGTATGATAATTTGCTTTTTAGATGATTTTTCTAAAAACTTGAGAAGCTAAAATAATATGGCAATTACCTATTATTTTACTGCCTACTGCCCAACTTTAATAAAAGTACTTTTTATCCTGACATGAAAAGTTTCAATTTTTTTAAATGCAATGTTGAAGCTTCAAAAGACTAGATACATTTTTTCCACAATCAAACAATGTAGGTTCCTTATTTGTGCAATGGGTATCAAACAGGTATTGAAACCAATATATGAATTAAAAGCATGCTAATTTCCACAGGAAACCTTTCTGATTTCAAATGTTTTAGAAAACATCTTCTCAGTGTGGAAAAAAAAGTCAATAGAGGAATCTGGATTTCCTTAACCATGTGATTCACTTAACAACTGCAACGATTCACTTAACAACCCTGGCAAGAATGTTGTAGAATTGAGCATGTCTCAACAGCCACTTGCTTCAGTTTTTCTATTTTTTAACATTTATTTTATTTTATCAACAAAAATAAAATACGAAACAAAAATAGAAAAATGAACATCCAACACTAACGGGGAAAAAAATTCTTATGTACAAAAAGGAAAAAAAGAAAAAAACCCAAATGTCAAATAAATTTAATATTAAACATAAAAAATCCACCCCAGATGGATTCTGAAAATTTAAAAAAAAGCTGATAGGTTCTCCTCCCCTTACATTAACAGATCTACAAAATAGTTATAAAATTTCTCATCCTTATTTAATAAAAATATTATATGAAATAAATATTCTAATGAGAAATTCTATGTCTAATAATCAAATCTACCCAATGTCCAATTATAATACCACTTGTTTAACAACAAAAATTTTGGTTGCACTTGTGGTCATAAGTTGATATGAGTACCACTGAAATACAGGATGTCCTTTTTCAGGTAAAGAAGATCACTAAAAGGGGAAAAAAGGGAAGGACAACTTTCTCTCCAATGACATTGCTTGATAATCATCATCACAATATTGCTCTTTTTCCTTTGACCAATAACACCTAGCAAATGAAAAATGAAATTGGTGGAAAGAACTGTGTTCAAAGTAGACACTGTTTATATACAAATAGTAACAACTGTTGCAGTTCTCCAAAAATTTAGATCCCTACAAAAGTTCATGTTATATAGTAACTGTATTATTCATATATTTAATATATGATTATGACATTACTCATATACAAGAAAATGACAGACATTTCTCTAGATGCCACTTGTCTTTTGAGACCCATTCAAAATTTCAACAAAGCTGCATGAAGACTAGCAGAATATAGTCCAGAGTCAGGGCAACCACGGAGGATATCCAAAAAAATCAATTGTACTGCAACCTTGCAGGCAAAACTCTGCCTTTTTTGTTTACATGTAAAAAATAAAAAGATGAGGTTTCAGTCACATAATTCTGACTGCTATCTTGACTTTTTGGCATGTCCCAAGGATAAGCCCAAGCTCCTAACAAGGCTGTCTACTTATGTACAGGGATGAAATGACATTCCTAAGCCAATTTTATGGATCCTTTCAGAAGAATGTTTAATCCCAGTAACCAGCTCAGCTTTTTTGGTGGCAGGACCCAAATTAGCCCTAGACACTCTCTTAGTATAGTTAAGGATTGGATTCAAAACATATGTTATTTTCGCAGGCTTTTTCATGCAATACACTTAGATTGTATTTAATATTAGTTAATTTGCATGTTTCTATTATATTTTATAATCCATTCAGTCATTTCCTAAATAAATATGAATGCTCTAGTATTAGGCTGGGCACTGTAATATATTCTGAGATAACAGAATGCAATATATCTGTGTGTGTATAGCATTTTAATATAAATATATATCAAAGTTTCTGAACCAATCTGAGTCTTAAAAGAATGCAGCATTTATGTTAATGTTATATCCTGTGCTTTTGTTCAGGAACTCAAGGTAGCGTACAAAGTGTTCCCTCCTCTCACTTTTTCTCATCACAACCCTATGAGATAGGCTGGGTCAAGGGCAGATAAAAATTTGGCTTCTTCTCAGTCCTAGTCCAACCCTTTTACACGGTTCCTTTAACTTGGAATACTAATCAAGTTACCTTTTAAGAGTGTTTGGTAGATTAATCTTCTCACCTGTTGCTGCCGAATTCTCTCTAGCCAAGGAAGGATTAATGTCAGCCATAGTTTCTTCACCAAATGCTGATTCAAGAGAAGCCATTTCCTTCTCAAAGCCAAGTACAGGCCAACCAGTCTTAGGTGCACAGTGGATGCTCACTTCATAAGTTAAGGAAGTTCAGATGCCTGCTTGAGAGATTTCAGGAGTTTACAGGAGGATATTTAACTAGAGGCACATTGATAGAATTGAACAAAATCCTATTATCTGACCATAATTAAATCTTCCATAAGGTCAGCAAAGCCAGATTGCCTTTCAGAACTTGATTATTATCATTTGCTTGGAAGGATAGAATTGAAGATCTTTGCTAGTGATTCTACAGCATGGGTGTCAACTCAATCGCGTTATGTCAGTGGTTCTCAACCTTTCTAATGCCGTGACCCCATAATACAGCTCCCCATGTTGTGGTGACCCCAGGGGCGTGGCCACCGAGTGGGTGTGGCCACTGAGTGGGCGTGACCACTGAGTGGGCGTGGCCGCCAAGTGGCCGCCGCGGGTCCCATCGCCGCAGCAGATACACAGCTGTCCTTCCTCTTCCTTGACGCAATCTTTCGCCCACCCCAGTGACTCCCTCCCCTTTCTGGGGTCCAGGCATACCTTCCGGAGCCCCAGTGTTTACCGACTACAGGAAGCGCAGGGTGCCCACGTAATCCTGCTCGGTTGAGGACACAGAGGCGAAGACGCAGCTGGCGGTCCGTATCCTTTGCCGGTTCCAAAGGGAGAGCACTGGTGCCGGGGGCCACTGCCCCCGCCGCCGCTGCCACCGACGGCTCAGATACCGACTGCACTTCCATGGCTCCTGCCTGCCTCAGCTTCCAGATCATCCCGACCCCACTTTCCTCACTCCGTAGCCGGCTTTAGGCGCCCTCCATCCCTGAGGCGCATGCCAAATGCACCACAAGGATCGAGTCTCTCGAGCTCGACCTACCAGCAGGAGCGCCGCGCTGGGACATGGCGAGGAGGCGGCGGCGGCGGCTAGGAGCAGAGCACAAACAGCGCTGAATGGAGAGAAGTGTTTCTCTCCATTCAGCGCTGTTTGCGCTCTGCTCCTCATAGCCGCTGCCGCCTCACCATGTCCCAGCGCGGCGCTCCTGCTGCTCTCGCTCCTCATATGCCGTTTCTCTCCATTCACCGTGCCTCCCAGCGCGGCGCTCCTGCTGGTACGCTCAGCTCGAGAGACTCGATCCTTGAGGCGCGTTTGGATCGAGCGCTCTCGGGGATGAAGGGCGCCTAAAGCCGAGCGGGGAGTGGAGCGTGCGCAGCAGGAGTGCCACGCTGGGACATGGCGAGGAGGCGGCGGCGGCTACGAGGAGCAGAGCGCAAACAGCGCTGAATGGAGAGAAACACTTCTCTCCATTCAGCACTGTTTGCGCTCTGCTCCTCGTGGCCACCGCCGCCACCTCCTCGCCATGTCCCAGCGCGGCGCTCCTGCTGGCCCACGCTCCACTCCCCACTCGGCTTTAGGCGCCCTTCATCCCCGAGGCGCACGCCAAACGCACCACAAGGATCGAGTCTCTCTTTGTTCCGGCCTCTCCCCTCGTCGCCTGCTGCGCTCTCCAGACTACTGTTTTGGGCTCATCTCGCCACCACCCCCTTCCTCACTTCTGAGTGCCACCTCCGCCTCTCCATTCAGCACTGTTTGCGCTCTGCTCCTCGTGGCCACCGCCACCACCTCCTCGCCATGTCCCAGCGCGGCGCTCCTGCTGGCCCACGCTCCACTCCCCACTCGGCTTTAAGCGTCCTTCATCCCCGAGAGAGACTCGATCCTTGTGGTGCGTTTGGCGTGCGCCTCGGGGATGGAGGGCGCCTAAAGCCGAGCAGGGAGTGGAGCGTGCACCAGCAGGAGCGCTGCGCTGGGACATGGCAAGGAGGCGGCATCGGTGGCTACGAGGAGCAGAGTGCAAACAGCCCTGAATGGACAGAAGCGAGTGGTGAGTGGAGCGCGCGAAGGGACTTGACCAGGGCAGCGGGCAGAGGGGAGGGTCGGCTCCAGAGGCGGAGGTGGCACTCAGAAGTGAGGAAGGGGGTGGTGGCGAGATGAGCCCAAAACAGTAGTCTGGAGAGCGCAGCAGGCGACGAGGGGAGAGGCCGGAACAAAGAGAGAAGCGGCTGGGCAGCAGGAAAAATGACGGGATTTCTACGATATGATCCAAAAAAAAAAAAAAAAAACCTTGCCTTGGCACAATGGGAAATAGTGAGAAATTGATGCAGAAAAGTAATTTGGGGCTCATGTTGCTTTGCGATCCTTGACGCTTAGAGAGATAAGTATGCAAGGATTTTTGATTCATTTATTTAACTTTAACAAAACGAACTACAAACTTAAACTCCACTGAAATAATTAGAGAGTACCCGTATACGCTGGAAAATACGGTACATATATTCCTCTGCCAAGCAGAGGAAGCTCAGCGGCAGGCCAGAGAGGAAACTTACTGTTTTTAGTTGTTTTCTCTCTTGCTTTCTGCTGCTTGCTCTCTCTCTCGCTTGTCCTCTGTATTGCTTTCCTCCACATGCTCCGAAACCGAAACTTCCTAACTTTAAATAGAAAAAAGCTGCCCATGCGCAAGGAGGAGGGAGGCAGGAACAGCACTTTCTATATAGCCAAATAAGGAAGTAGAACAGTTAAAAAAGGGAAAAAAATGGCGGACAGCGGGGTTTGGCGACCCCCGTGAAATGGTCGATCGACCCCAGATGGGGTCACGACCCATAGGTTGAGAACCGCTGCGTTATGTGAAGTATCATGATGCATCATGACTTTTTTGCCTTTGCAGAGCTGGGGTGGGCATGATCTGCATGTGATGCATCCAGCCCATGGGCCACCAGTTTGACACCCCAGTTCTACAGCAACCAGACATCTACAGCAGTGTAGAAAAACTCCACTAATCTGTTCTAAATACAGTATTTATAACAAGAAAGAGAGACAGTTCTTGGTGGCAAAGGTCACCAAGATGTCATCTTGCTTGATCAAGGAATTAGGGGGTCCCTATCTCCTATAATGGTATTAAATATCTGCTTCTATTTTATTTACCTATAGCAGATACATCTCTTCTACAGCTATGCTGTTAGAACACATGGTTTGCTTAGCCACAGTTTACAAAATTGTTCACAGTTGTTTAATTGTAGGCAATTTGCTAAATCACAAACAAACAAAGCAGGCCATGGATTAGCATATTGAACAAGCCTTCTATATTGATTGCAGTTAAAATTGTTGGCTGACCCCGATCTTCCTCCATAAATTTTAAATGGAAAAACTATGTAATGAGTCACCTTTGTTTACTGACACTTTATACAGCAGCAAATTCTTATATCTGGCTATTTGGAAATAAATTTTAAATAAGTATAAAAAGAGAGCCAGTTTAGTGTAATGCTTAGGTCATTGGGGAAGAAATGGGGAGACAATATAAGTTTGAGTCCAATCTTCAGCAGAAAGTCAAGTGGCTGACTTTGAACCAGTCATTTTCTATCAACCGTAGGAAGGAGGCAATGGCAAACCACTTCTGAAAACCTTTGCCAAGAAAAACTGCAGGGACTCATCCAGACAGTCTCTAAGAATCAAACAAGATTAAACAGGAGAAAAAATTATAGAGCTTGGTATGAGGTATTATGGGGATATAGAGTTTGAAGCCTTCCAAATATTGCTAAACTACAATTCCCAGGATTTCTCTCTGCTGGGCATGATACCTGGGACAATTTATATCCCGCCTTTCATTCAAGAGCTCAGGGATGTCCCCCCTCCATTTTTCCTTACAATAATCCTGCATGATAAGTTGGGATGAGAGAGATGACCCAGATTCGCCCTGTGAATTTCCTTAGTTGAGGATGTATTTGAATCTGGATCTTGCAGTGCCACTCACCACCATCTTAGCCACTACATAGGCTTTGCTGTGAGTTGCAGCTGGGCTATAGATTACAGACTGCATTCTAAAGTTTTCACTTTGTTAGAGAAATCATATCAGTATTTTATTTTTCTCATTAGAATGAAAATGAACTTGAAAACAAAAGTAGCCAAGGAAAAACAAAGTCCAGTTGTCTCTTGAAAAAGCACTTTTGGGATAAATTGGAGTATGAACACTGTTGTTGGAGAAAACTCCTCAGAATACTATGGACAGCCAAGAAAACCAACAAATGGATCGAACAAATCAATCCAAAGTTCTTACTTGAGGCATGACTAACCAGTGTCAGATCATCATACTTTCGATATATTATGTTTAGAGTTAGTTTTCTGGGGAAGGCTCTAATAATGGGAAAAGTGGAAGGAGAGAAAGAGGATGATCAACAGCAAAGTGGATGGACTAAGTTACAGCACCAATGGATGCCCCATTGGAAGACCTGAAGAACCAGGTCATGGATAGATCATAAAGTAAATCCATATATGTCACTAAGAGTCAACATTGACTTGATACAATTCCTTTTCTGTAGAGTGAATCAAAGTGGGTGAACTGTGCAAAACAGAACAGAAGAATAATATATCTTTTAATGTTCATTTTGCTGCCTTGCTGATACCATAATACAAAGCATTCTAAAATATGAAATGTTTGAATTTAAATATTCAAAATAAATATTAAATGTTTAAATGCTTAAATATTTAATATTATCTATATATCCTTTTCCACAAATAGGGAATTCTGGGAGTTAAAGTCCAGAAGTCATAAAAGCGGCAAGTTTTGAAGACTCCCCAAACTATGATAGAAATCAATAACAAGATTACCCCAGATACACACCAGAACCCATGACAAGCTTAACCTAAACACACACACAAAAAACCCTATCAGAAAGCTATCTCCTCCCCTTGGTGATTGGATTAAAACTTTCTGACAGGAAAAAGAGCAGACTAGGAAATTAAGAAAAATAAACTTCTTAGAAATCTCATCAAGACTTCAATAGGAAGAGTATAAAGTATACCATGTACTTAGGTGGCGTTTGCTAGCTAGCTCAGAATCCAATGCTGAATCACTATTCTGTTTGATTTCTGAATTAAAATCCACTTTCTGGCAGCTTGCTTTCCTTGGCGTCTATTTTTGTGCGCGCTGAAGGCTTGTCCCCAGCTGGAGAAACGAACCGGAGAGAATTTCTTCCCACAATTTTTAACTACTTGCCATTACTATCATATCAATCTCTAAAAAGTAACGGATGTTCGTTTATAGTTTACATGGGTTACTACTGTTTTCGAAATCTTGTGTGTTGTTTTACATTTTAACTTTTGCTTTCTTAAGAATGTTTCTCAGCAACCTTGGTGCGACTCGAAAGTTGCTATAAAAATATTTAAGAATAACAACAATGAAAAAAAATCCACCTTTATACCATTCAAGTTCGAGAAGACGCCCGCCAACTATTTCGAAGTGATTTGTTTCACTTTTGGTCTCCGGTTCATTTTAAAACCCGGGAACGTCGGCAGTAATTGGATCCGAAGCAGAAAAGATGCTTCGGTGGTAACAAGAGCCCCCCCCCGTGCCTTTTATTGGGCCCCTGCCTCTTCCTGGGCTTGCCTGCAACCGGAGCCAGCCCAGGACTGGCAACGGCGAGGTTCTCAAAGGAGATTTCGAGTAAGCCCACACTCCAATATAAGATCCAGATCTTGCGCGCCGGATCCGAGTAGGAGTTGCTTTACCTTATCCTGCAGAAATTCTGTACTGCTCTTCCCATCACAAAATCCAAAATGCAAGCTAAGAAACATCAGGATCCATCCAAGAAACATTTCACTAGCTTACCTAATTCTCCCGGGATCTTGGCTCCCGAGTTCTTCTCGGGCCACGTGAAATGCCCTAATTTCACCTAGAAACCAGAGCAGGCGGTAAGACCACCCCTTCCGTCTTACTCCACTTTTTGCTAACCGATTGTTTTCGGATAATTATATGTGATTGGATGCTTTTAGGGAAAATGCCCCAGTGCTTTTCGGTTATTTCCTTTGCACCAAGTGTAACAATGGTTGGTCAGTTGGATATTCACCGTCCAGCCAGCTTCTTTCTGGCTAAGAAAAATGCTTGTATAGATGGTCTGAGGCTTTTCTCAATAACTGGCTGTTAATTATTGCTATGGAAGTTTAACTCATCAGGGATACAAAGGACTTAGATAATACACGTTTTGTTACCTATAAAAATGATACTTCCTCCCCCCCCCCCCCAGGTACTGGATAAATGAACTCCCAGAACTTTCTGGGATTTATTGGTATTTATAGAAATTTCTATCCCACTGTGGGAAGAATCCAGAGAAATATTTTGGGGAATATTAAAAAGGCAGAATATATTTCTCCAAAGGAATAAATGGAGAAGATCTTTAAAAAGGCAGAAACTTCTCCCTCCCCCAAGTCAGAAAACCCAGTGGAAACCAGCTTTTAGAAATGCAGATGTAACAATCCATTCAGGAATGTTGGACTCAGGAAGCTAGAAAATGAGGAAGACAAAGTCACCTAAAATCTACATACCCCACCCAAACTCTAAAAGACATGACCTTTGAGGACATAATAGGATTAACCCACCAATACCAAAAGTGCACACTCAAACTCAGGTCAAAGTACATGACACAGGAAATACAAAGCCTCAAACAGGAAACAACCTCAAGAGCCCCAGAAGGCATAAAACCCCACCACTCCCAGTAACGTGGTCAGCTTTCCTGAAGCCATGCTTCTGTCTGACTCTGCCCTTCAATAAATTATAATCTGCTTTCTAAAGCAGTCTCCATTTTGTTTATTCCCAGCTTGATGGGATGAAGATTTTTCTTTCAACACCATCTTCTTACTTATTAATGTTAACATTACTGGTGCATATATAATTATTCTGTTTTATCATTCTTTCATTTTTGTCTTCAAAGTAAAAAAAAGCACTAATTGGCAGGGTAGCATGGACTATGCTGTTTTGGAAAATACCTATCAAATTAGGTGGACTTTGACTCCTGTTACCTATATCTATCCCAGATGGCAAACAGTTACTGTATAATCAGTGGATAATGGGCACTGTCCTTTCAATGCCTCATGATGAAATAAGCAGAGAACAGTATTTGCTTGTTTAAAATAGTTGGAACATAGTGTAGAAAGTCAGCGCGCACACACACACATACATGAAGAAGGAAATATTTTGGGGGGTATTAAAAAGATAATATTATATTTCCCAGGGAATAGTGGGAGAAAATCTTAAAAAGCAGAAATTTATCCCTTTCCCCCAAGCAGAAACTCAGCAGGCCAACTCTATAGAAATGCAGATTTAATAATCCTATACAGAAAGACTGGGCCACCTATTCATAAGCAAAATGCCTTCAGCCATAGCTCCAGAGAAGGTTTGAGCTGATGGGATTAGAAAAACAAAGACTCCAGGGAACATGATCTTTAGGAGGATTAACCCATCACCACTAGAATACCAAAAGAGGCCCATTGAACATTGAACCCACAGTCAAAGTTCATTGCATAGGAACAAGAGCCTCAAATACAGCGCCACAGTAACAACTCCAAACACAAAAGACCAAGAAGGTATAAAAACTCACCACTCCCAGTTCCATTTTGTAAGCCACCTCAGAAACATTCTGCTGTCACTGAAGTTTGCAACTAAATAAACAAGAACCTTCTTTCTAAAGCAGTCTTTATTTTGTTTATTTCCAGCTTGGACTGGACCCTGATGAAGATTTTTCTTTCAACAATAGTTAACAGAAGTTAACATTAATTGACTGAATTAGCAGAGTTCCTTGAGTTAGAAATTACTATCAGTGAGGGAAGGGGCACAGGAAGGGTTTAATATTTTTTTTTCTTTCATTTTATCTGATTGAATTAGTCCCCCACCTAACTTCTGCCTTACTAATACTTCCCTATTGTTTGAATGTAGAAACTTGAAGTTTGAATGTGATTATTTTATAAGGACTGGCCTAACAACAATAATATTTACTCAAATTCATGGAATGCACTGTTGTTTAAAATATATGAAGAAAAGCTCTTTTTGCAAAGCATAAATTGAAAAAGGATATAATGGGAAAAGAAGACAGTATTCCTACAGTACTGCTTTTGTGTTCATAACTTTAGATCACAGCAGCTTTAAGACTTTGTTCCACATTGTTGAGAGAACAAAATCTAAGTGGGTGGAGGTGTAGTGGGTGGAGGTGTAGTACCTGTTAGCTCCTTAGAAAATAGGTGTATATATGTATTGAGGGAAGTTAGCCCAGAGAAGGAAATTTATTATTTATTTATTTATTTATTTTATGAGACTTATATACCGCTTTAAGTGCAGCACTCTCTAAGCGGTGTACACCAGTAAGCAATGTATATATATATTTACATTGCCCCCAACAATCTGGGTCCTCATTTTACCTACCTCGGAAGGATGGAAGGCTGAGTCAACCTTATTATTATATTAAATATTAAAAGGGCAGAAAAATATATTTTTCCTCAAAAGGATTTTTTTTTAAACCAAACCTGGCCCCAAATCTATCTCTCTGCCCCAAGCAAGAGCTAGCCCCATACAAATGCAGATGTAAAACCATCAGAAAGTTGAAGCCAGAGCAATCAAGAAGACAAAGAGAAAATCTGCATGCCCCACCCAAACTCTAGGAGTCATGAGCCCCATCACCTGGGAAGCAGGATATGATAATAGGATTAAACCAAGGCCTATAAAACATTCAGAAATAGCCTCAAGGTTCATGCCACAGGAACAGGAAATTATTCCCAAAAAGGCTTAGAGGGGGTATAAAAACCTACTGCCCATGTACTCAACTCCTCTTTCCTCTCCTCTGCTCTTTCTTACAAGGACCATCTTTCTGCTTCTTCAATAAACTGTAACCTTCTTCCCAAATCAGTTGCCATGTTGCTTATTTATCCCCGGCTCGGATGAACCAGGATGAAGACTTACTTCTGACAATTTGGCACCCCAGAATGGGACTCCAAGCTAACCTCTCCAATGGACTAAGACTGGTAAGCCCCATCTTGCCGGCAGCAGACACCCTTGTGTCTGTGGATGGGTTTCCCAGGCCTTGCCCATGTGGAGCCAGGGTAATAAAGGGAGTTTTGAGAGTTTGAGCTCAAGGGCTGCTTTGGAAAGAAAGTGAAGGTGAGTACCTCTAAATTTTAAGTTTAAAGCCCAGGGGAACAAAGAAATGTGTGTATTTCTGTTTGTGTGAGTAAAAAGACTTTTTTTCCCCAATCACAGTTGGATTTTGCTCCTTCTGGTCTTTCCTAGCCACAGAAAGGATCTGTTTAATTGGCAGAACCTGGAAAGCATGGGGGTTTGGTCAGAGCACAGAACCTTTTGTTAGGGAAAAGGGAAAGGCTGTGTGAAAATGAAATGGAATGAGTGAATGAAAGAATTGGATTTGGGCAACTAGCTGGTAAGGCCCTGTAAGCAAAGCAAAGCAAAGTTAGGAAATTAAGCCTCGGGCTAGGAGTGGCCACTTACCTCTGAAAGCAAGCAGAGGTCCTCATGGACATCGGAGGTCGGCAAAACAGTGGTGTGAAGCCGACCGGTCAGAGAGTAACCCGTACCTTCTGAGGGGAAACCATAAGTGTCTGTACAGACCCCTTTTTGGTCTGAAAACGTGGCAGATCCCTCAAGGAGCCCACATACTCTGAGAGGAATCCAGAGTGCTCCGTGAGTCCCCTTTTTGGACCCACAAAACCGTGGTGGAAGGAGGAAGTCTCACAAGGAGGCCTAGTGTAGTGCCCTTTAGCGTTAGAGGAAAATCCCATTATAGAAGCATGGGAGGTTCCAATTCAAGGGCTGAGATAGGTTCTGCAGTTGAGAGCTTGCTTGAAGCCTGGGACAAGAATCAGCTACCTGTCCAGGCTCGTATGAAAAAGAGATAGGTAAAGAAACTATATGTAAAAAAAAAACACTTTGCTTAGGGCTTTGATAGGAAACCAATTTGGCTAAATAAAAGTACTTTAAGGGAAAATAAGAAATAGTGATTCTCTTTTTTCTCTCTCTCTTCTCTATGCAACCACGTGGTATATTTAAAATGTGTGCCTTCCCTAACTTGAGTTATCTGAAATTTATGGTGGGAATGACTAGAATGTGTAAAACTAAGACTTGTTTACTTTTCTGTTCTCTTGTCTTTGTGTATATATGTTTGTCAAAGTCTGTGTGTGAGAGGTAAATGTGACTGTTAATTGTTTCAAATCCAAAGAAAAAGGAATTTTAAATTGTGCTAGAAATTCTGCTTAAAATAAGCCACAAAAAGGAAATACCTCACTCTGTTTGTCTGGCCAACAAACAGTGAAGAAAAAAAATGTGTTTGTTTGTTTTCCTTTTTCTCTCTGTGTACTCTTATGAACAGCCTAAAGATAGCAGGAAGGAATGTTTTAAGTTCATCTGCTAGAAAGATTTCACTCTTGCATTTAATAATATATAATAAAGTTGGAAGGGACCTTGGAGGCCATCTAGTCCAACCCCCTGCTCAGGCAGGAAACCCTATACGAACTTTATCAAATGCCTTACTGAAGTCCAAGAAAATTATATCCACAGCATTCCTCTAGTCCACTAATTTTGTAACTGGTCAAAGAATGCAGTAAGATGTGTCTAGCATGATCTATTTTTATAAACCCATGTTGGCTTTTAGTAATGACTTTGTTTGCCTCTAGGTGTTCGCGGATTCTTGTTTATCTTTTCCAGAATCTTCCCAGGTATTGAGGTCAGGCTGATAGGTCTGTTGTTTCCTAGATTTATTTTTATTTTTGAAGAGGGGAACTACATCAGCTCTTTTCCAGTCCTCTAGTAGTTCCCTAGTGCTCCAGGGTCTTTGAAAAATATAGTTCAGTGGTTCTGAGATCACATCTGCCAGTTCCTTGAGAATTT